AATAATCTACCTACAGCACAGGGAGTCATCTAGAAGGTTTGTCTGTCTCTGGGCTTGGGACACAAAATTCTGAAGAACATTACTTCTAACCTAGAATTCTATACAAAGGTAAGTTGTCATTCAAGAAAAGGATGGAATAAAACATTCTCAAACATGCAAGTTCTCAAAATATTTACCTTCCGTGCTCTTTCTTTGAGAAGCCAATAAAGTTTGGGTTCCTTTGAAATGAGGAAGTAAACCAAGAAAGAGAAAAACATGGGATCTGGGAACCTGGCATCCAACACAGGAGGGAGAAGAGAATTCCCAGAACGATGGTAAAGAGAAGCCCCAGGATGACAGCTCTGCAACAGCCTAGAGAGCAACCAGTAGAGAGATTTGAAGAGAGAATGGATGGCTCACAAGAGGGCTGTCTCAAAGGAAAAAATAAGCCCTTTGTTAAACTACTTTATTGAAGTATGATTGACATATAAAAAACTGTGCATAGGAAACTTTGGGCTTTTTAAAGAAATGTCTGATTTCAGATCTGGATACAATACAATAGAGATTACACATATGAAATATTATTGCCAAAAAAGTTGAAACTGAATCTAATCTGGGAAAAAGAAAAAAGTTCAATGACATCAGTAGAAAGCAATTGGACATACCAAAGATGTGGGATGTTCTACAGGACAAATAATCGGTTTCTTTGAAAAGTAAGTGGCATAAGGAAAAAAAGTGGTTGGAGGGGAGACTGTTCTAGAGTAAAAGAGACTAAAAATATATAATCGCGCCCTAGCCGGTTTGGCTCAGTGGATAGAGCGTCAGCCTGCGGACTCAAGGGTCCCAGGTTCGATTCCGGTCAAGGGCATGTACCTTGGTTGTGAGCACATCCCCAGTGGGGAGTGTGCAGGAGGCAGCTGATCGATGTTTCTCTCATCGATGTTTCTAGCTCTCTATCCCTCTCCCTTCCTCTCTGTAAAAAAATCAATAAAATATATTAAAAAAAAAAAAAAAGATATAATCGCCCTGGCCAGTTTTGCTCAGTGGATAGAGCATCTGCCTGTGGACTGAATGGTCCCGGGTTCGATTCTGGTCGGGGGCACATGCCCAGGTTGCAGGCTAGATCCCCAGTGGGGGGTGTGCAGGAGGCAGCCGGTCGATGATTCTCTCTCATCACTGATGTTTCTATCTCTCTCTCCGTTCCTTCCTCTCTGAAATGAAATAATTGAAAAAAAAAAAAGATATAATTAGCCTGGCCAGTGTGACTCAATGGTAGAGCATCGACCTATGGGACCAGGAGGTCAGGGTTCCATTCCCGATCGGGGCACATGCCCGGATTGTGGGCTCGATCCCCAGTGTGGGGCATGCAGGAGGCAGTCGATCAATGATTCTCTCTCATTGATGTTTCTGAAAAAAATTATGTTAAACAAAATAAACCAGAATAAAATTGTATGATTCCATTTATATCTAGTTCATAAATAAGCAAAATTAAGATATGCTGATAGAAATCAGAATAGCAGCTGACTCTATAGGTGGGGGACTGACTAACAGAGGAAATTCAGAGAGGTGATGGAAATTTCTAGATTCCCCTAATGGTAAATTAGATGTATATTTTTTTCTAAACTCATCGAACCCCATAATATCTGTATTTACTGTGGTAAATATCCCCCCAAAGGGAGGAGCCAGGACATTCCGCATACATTTTAGTCTTCAAGGCATAGGTAGGTGGAACATATTAATACATCCGGTTGCAGTCACCAGAAAATAGCAGAGAAGGTCTGCCCCCCAATTCAAACAAGATGGCAACGTTATCACACAGACTGGACTTTTTCAAAAGGACATCAATTTTAGAATAATTTATGATGGCTTTTTCTCAGTTTGTGGGCCACCAGACACTGGGAGACTGTGTACTCATATCCATATGCCCTTGTTAGTTTCTTTAAAAAAAAATATTTTTATTGATTTCAGAGAGGAAGGGAGAGGGGAGAGAGATATAGAAACATCATTGATAAGAGAGAATCATTGAATGGCTGCCTCTTGCACACCCCCTACTGGGGATCAAGCCCACAACCTGAGCATGTGCCCTTGACCAGAATTGAACCCGAGACTCTTTAGTCCACAGGCTGATGCTCTATCCACTGAGCCAAATCAACTAGGGCAGCCGTGGGCAAACTATGGCCCACTTGAAATGAATAAAACTAAAAAAAAAAAAAAAAAAAGACCGTACCCTTTTATGTAATGATGTTTACTTTGAATTTATATTAGTTCACACAAACACTCCATCCATGCTTTTGTTCCGGCTCTCCAGTCCAGTTTAAGAACTCACTGTGGCCCTCGAGTCAGAAAGTTTGCCCACCCCTGAACTAGGGCCCTTGTTAGTTTCTTAACCAAAGGAGACTAAAAGTTTAAATGTTATCATGTGAGGGGATCTGTAATTTTTTATTTTATTTATTTATTTTTTTAAATATATTTTTATTGATTTCAGAGAGGAAGGGAGAGGTAGAGAGAGATAGAAACATCAATGATGAGAGGGAATCATTGATTGGCTGCCTCTTGCATGCCCCCTACTGGGGATCGAGCCCACAACCCCAGCATGTGCCCTCGACCAGATTTGAACCTGGGACCCTTCAGTGTGAAGGCTGACACTCTATCCACTGAGCCAAACCAGCCAGGGCGGGATCTGCAATTTTTTAAAGTTCCTTTGTACTTCTTTCCAGTTAATCTATCTAATAATTTTGCTTATTCATTAATTTCATATAAATAGAATGTTTTAAAGTAAATTTGAAGTATATATATATATATTTTTCATAAAGATGTACTATTACCTTAAAATATTGGAAACCAGTGACTGACTAAATGTCTAAATCTTTACTTAGTAATTAAACTAAAAAGAGTTGAAGAGTACATCCACAACAAAGTATGTGATGCAATAATATATATTTTAAAAAGCATTGTAAACTATAAAGCACTGGAAAAACATAAGATAACATTTACCTTTTATAAACAATAAAAATCAAGAAATAGTTTTTCACCTTAAGTTTTGGATATATGTGGCGCAGAGAATCTGCAGTTCCCTTGTCAGCCTCATCAGGAATACACACGATATCTAGCTTCATTTTCATCTTGAATTCTGCAGATAAAGCCTTTTGGACATCCCTGGTTGTAATGACAATGACTTCTACAGCACAAAAGAAAAAAAAGAAGGAAAAATACAAAAACTCTCATTCATTTAGATAATGATTTGTCTATTTTAATTAGATTTGGTCTGTTTCTAACAGTTAATATTGTTGAGCCTTTTCAATGCATTTTACTGCGTTCTCTCAATTCTTAATAACAATCTCATTTTACAAATGAGGAAACTGGGACTTTATGTTGTTTGACTTTGTTCAGGGTCACATGATTAGTAAGCAATGGATTCAAGATAAAACTCAGGTCTGTCTAATTAGAGCCCTCACTTTAATATATTACATGATGCTTCTTGATGTAAAGAACCCAGAAGAGCACTCATCAAAGCATATACAAATGGGATCCCATTTTAAATCTTCATTTACTACAGAGAAAGAGCTATCACCATTTCCTATGAGGTAGCCACAATGAATCCTCGTTAGAGGCAATTTTCACATAACAGATGTCTTTACTTTATCCATGTAGCTATCAACCAATGCTAGAAAACTTGGGGTTTTGTCATGGATCTTTGGTAGGGTAATGTAAATCCACTGTAACATAACATATGTTGCTGACGTCTGAAGATTGAATTTTAGCATCTCTATAGTGGAAAAATTTCCACTTGTTCCATTATAGTATTCCAGGTCACAATTATCTCTCCCTTTCACTGTAAGCATTCTTTTCTATTTTCTTCCCTTCTCTTCTTTCTTTCTTTTTTAAATCATTTAACCTTCCTTCTTCCTTTTTTTCTTCTTTCTTCCTCTCCCTACTCTGCTTTCTTTTAGTCACTAACTTACTCATTCATCCAATAAATACAAATACATTTAATATGTAAAGAACAAATAGGCACTGAGAATTCAGAAATGAACTCAACATGGTTCTTATTTTTAAGAAACCTAACATGAAGAAATTATACATGGAAATGGTTAAGGAAGGTATCATGGAAGGGATGGCCTTTGAGGACACGATGAATTTTAAGTACAACAAAAATTTCTTTTAATTAAAAATATTTTTATTGAAATGATTGGGGTGACACTGATTAATAAAATTATACAGGTTTCAGGTGTACAATTATGCAATATTACAAAAATTTCTTTAGTACATATTTATGTAAAATGCTGACATTACAAAAATGAATTAGATATAGTACTTGTTCTCAGAGAGATCAGTCCCCCAGGCCATTAACTACAGCATGAAACAGGCATTGAGAGGTACTAAGATAGAAAACCAAAGTGTGATGGAAGCATAGAAGACACGGTGATTGATGCTGTTCAGGATTTCAGAGAGAAGGAGAGGACATTTTAGGTAGAGTGGATAGAGTGAAAGAAGTAACAACTGCAAAAGTCAGTCTAATAATTGGACCAAGACTTTTCTGTATGGAGAGAGACAAAAGCTATGGTCTACGTTAACTTCTCTAAAATCATGACTTGGTTATTAAACTCCAGAATACTATGTTTAGTAAGCACTCTCCCAATCCTTAGTGAGAAGGAATTTTTTATGTAGGGGGTATTAAATATACCACAAAAGGCCACCCCTAAGCATAACTAACTATACCTAGAGCAAAAGTAAAAAGGAAAAAAAAGTTACAGATGATGTATCCTAAAAAAGTAATTAACAGAAATTATGAGATTTTAAAGTATGTTAAGGTGTGTCCTTCACCTGTGCAACTGAGCTCTAAAAACAAAATCTCTTCTAAAACATATCTCTTAACATCAATGTCACATAGACTACTTCATAGAAATGTTATGGGTTTGTTTCAGGAAGGCAGTTCTCATAGTGGAATGATCAATGGATCACAAGACTGGGCCCTAGGATCTAGCACCACCTCCATCCAGTCCTTGGATTTGCTATATCTAACTACATATAAGGCACTTCAAACTCTTTGTGGTCAAAGCTAAACTCATTATCTTCATTCAAACCTGTTCCTTGTCTCTTATTCCCTTTCCTAGTTAATGCTACCACCTAGTCCAGTGGTCGGCAAACTCATTAGTCAACAGAGCCAAATATCAACAGTACAATGATTGAAATTTCTTTTGAGAGCCAAATTTTTTAAACTTAAACTATATAGGTAGGTACATTGTTATTAACTTAATTAGGGTACTCCTAAGGCTTAGAAGAGCCACACTCAAGGGGCCAAAGAGCCGCATGTGGCTCGCGAGCCGCATGTGGCTCTCGAGCCGCAGTTTGCCGACCACTGATCCTAGTCACACGAGCAAAAAGTAAAAGGAACGCTTCTCTTTTTTTCCTACTTCCCCTCCTCTTAATCATCAACTTGCTCAAATGTTCCCTCTTCTCCATCCTTAGTGCTACTTCTTTAGTTCAGGCCCTCTCCATTGCTGGTGTGGACTTTTGTATCAATATAACTCATCCCCCTGTTTATAGTCTTGACTCCTTCAAATTCATTCCTCATATAGCTTCCAAAGCAATTTTTAAAAACTGTAAATCTAAGTTATCAAATTTATTACTATAAAGTTGTTCATAATATTCCCTTATCTTTTTAATGTCTATAGGATCTGTAGATATGTCTCCTCTCTCATTACTGTTACAGTAGGTCCTTGGGTTACGTCGGAGATCCGTTCCTAAACGCGATTTTCGCTGTAAGTCGGAACCCACCTACATAAGCACCTACGTCATTCACATGAAGCACATACACAGCAGTAATGAAGTGAAACAGTAAAAAAAATTTTAAAGAAAGATAACAATTCCTGACCTTTACTTGTGGTAAATAAATAATAAAAAATATAAAGCACATATGTACATACGTCGAAATGACAGAACATTTTTTTTTAATAAATAAATGGGAGATGGCGATGTAACCACGAAACAACGTACATCGAGTCCAACATAACCCGAGGACTGTCTGTATTAGTAATTTCTTTTCTCTTTTTTTCCAGATCAATCTAACTAAAGACTTAACAACTTTATTGATTTTTCTCTAATGCTTTTGTTTTCTATTTCATTTATTTCTGCTCCTATCTTTTTAAAACTTGATCATCTAATATTCTTTTTTCAAAAGATATATTTTTATTGATTTCAGAGAGGAAGAGAGAGGGAGAGAGAGACAGAAACATCAATGATGAGAAAGAATCATTGATCCACGTCCTGCATGCCCCACACTGGGGCTCGAGCCGGCACGTGGCCCAAACGGGAATCAAACCGAGATCTCCTGATTCATAGGTTGACACAACCACTGAGCCAAGTCGACTGGGCTAAAGATTTTCAACTGATTTTTAGAGAGAGAGGAAGAGAGAAACATCGATGTGAGAGTGAAACATCGATCAGCTGTCTCCTGCATGACCCCTAGTGGGGATCAAGCCCACAACTGGGGCATGGAGCCAGCAACCTGGGAATCAAACCAGCAACCTTTCAGTGCACAGGAAGTTGCCCTACCAACTGAGCCACAACAACCAGGGCTACTTTTATCTTTTAAAAAATCTCCTTTCTACTTATTTAGGTTTCATTTGCTCTTCTTCTTCTAGTTTCTGAAAAAACTTTGATGATAATTTGAGACATTTCTTCTTTTCTACTATAGTGCTTAATGCTATAAATTTTCCTATAAACAGAACTTTAGCTATATCAAATTTTAATACAGTGTATTTCATTTTCAGTAAATTCAAAATATTTTCTAATTTCCCTTGTGATTTCTCTTAAACACACAGATTATGTAGAAGATTGTGATTTAAACTCCAAATTCTTGGGATTCTCTTGATATCTTTCTGTTATTGATGTCTAATTTAACTCTACCATGGTCAGAGAATATAGTTTGTATGATTCTAATCCTTATACATTTATTGAGACCTGTTTTGTTTCCAAAAATATAGTCTATCTTGGTAAAAGTACTTGAAAAGAATGTATATTCTGCTTTATTGGGTGAAATGTTCTACAAATGTCAATTAGGTCAAATTATAGAAAATCCTGAAGTATCTACAAAAAAGCTATCAGAATTAATAAATGTATTAAGCAAAGTTGCAGGATAAAAGGTTAGTATAAAAAACTCTGGTTTTTTGCCTTAGCTAGTTTGGCTCAGTTGATAGAGCGTCGGCCTGGAGACTGAAGGGTCCCAGGTTCGATTCTAATCAAGGGCACATGCCTGGGTTGAGGGCTTAATCCCCAGTGGTGGGTGTGCGGGAGGCCGCCGATTGGTGATTCTTTCTCATCATTGATGTTTCTATCTCTCTCTCCCTCTCCCTTCCTCTCTGAAATCAATAAAAAAAAATATTTTAAATAAACAACCTGTATTTTTATGTATTAGCAACAAACAAACTGGATATTAGGATATTGTATAACAATTACCATTTACAATAGCATCAAAAATATAAACTACTTAGAGATAAATTTAATAAAATATGTTTAAGTCCTACACATGGAAAACTATAAAATTACTGAGAGAAATTACAGAAGATATAAATAAATAGAGAGATATACCATGCTCATGGATCAGAAGACTCAGTATTATTATGATGTGAATTTTCTTCCTATTGGTCTATAGCAGTGATGGCGAACCTTTTGAGCTTGGCGTGTCAGCATTTTGAAAAACCCTAACTTAACTCTGGTGCCATGTCACATATAGAAATTTTTTGATATTTGCAACCATAGTAAAACAAAGACTTATATTTTTGATATTTATTTTATATATTTAAATGCCATTTAACAAAGAAAAATCAACCAAAAAAATGAGTTCGCGTGTCACCTCTGACACGCATGTCATAGGTTCGCCATCATTGGTCTATAGATGCAATTCAATCATAATCAAAATCCCACCAACCCTTTTTGTAGATATTGATAAGCTAATTCTAAAGTTTATCTAAAGATGCAAAGGACATGCTTGACATAGAATAACTAAAGTACCAATCTAACCACATTATACTTTTGTTTAAACCTTTCACTGTTTTCCCACTGCTTTCAGGGAAAAAAAATCTAAATTCCTCAGCATGGAAGACAAACGCACTTTATAGCATGACCCCTGATTACCTCTCTCATTACATCTACTCCTCCTCCTTATACTTTATATTATAGCCACATAGAATGAATAGCAGTTGCCAGAACATGCTGTGCTGATCATGAGTCTATATCTCATCATTTCTGCATGGAATACTCTCTCCTCGCTTGTCAATCTGATAATCTATGTTTCAAGAATTAACTCAAGGATCAGCTACTCTGTGAAGTGTTCCCTGAATCCCTCAAGTATAAACAGCAACTTCCTCTGTATACCCCATCACTTATAATGTACCTCTATTGTAACATTTACCACACTACACAGTGATAATCTATTTATATGTGTATCTCTCTGCTAGACTTTAAGGTCTAATGGAGATCAGGACCTGAGTTATCTTTCCTTGTTTTTTTTAATCCTCACCCGAGGATATTTTTCCATTGATTTTTAGAGAGTGGAAGAAAGAGAGACAAAGACAGAGAGAAATATTGACGTGAGAGAAACACATCGATTAGTTGCCTCCTGCACACACCCCAATCAGGGCCTGGACCAGGGAGGACCCAGAAATCGAGGTACATGACCTTGACCAGAATTGAACCCGGTTCCCTTTGGTCCACAGGCTGACACTCTATCCCAGCGGTTCTCAACCTGTGGGTCGAGACCCCTTTGGGGGTCGAACGACCCTTTCACAGGGGTCGCCTAAGACCATCGGAAAACACATATATAATTGCATATTGTTTTTGTGATTAATCACTATGCTTTAATTATGTTCAATTTGTAACAATGAAAATACATCCTGCATATCAGATATTTATATTATGATTCATAACAGTAGCAAAATTACAGTTATGAAGTAGCAACAAAGATAATTTTATGGTTGGGGGTCACCACAACATGAGGAACTGTATTAAAGGGTCGTGGCATTAGGAAGGTTGAGAACCACTAAAGGCTGAGTTATCTTTTCAATTCTGTACCCCAGTGCTAATATATAACTTGGCACATATAGATTCACAGTAAGTATTGAATATGAGGTGTGTGAATCCCCACCATTTCTCAACCTTTTTTCACACAGCAATAGAGTATTCCTATGTCCCTAATTTAAAGAGGCCAGTCTCCAGTCAACAGAGTCCTAGTCTTCTCTCACTCATCCTCTCCTCTCTCACCCTCATAAAAACGACAAATCATTGGGATCAAACACCCTAAAAGTTTTATAAGTGCATGTCATTACCATAGCTCACCTTCAAATCCAACACGCTCAAGCAGGTTCAATGGGTACCAAATTAAAGGTTTGTTCCCAACTGGAAGAAGAGGTTTAGGAATGCTGGAAGTCAGGTCTGTCATCCGAGATCCCCCTCCAACTGCCATTACTACTGCTTGAAATTCCATTTTTACCAACTGTAATCACAGAGAAAAACAGTCAACAGGGAAAAAAGTAACAAAAATTGAAGCATACACACTAATAATGCTATTTCTATCTAGGCTATTGATACCCACTATGTCAAATGCATCACTCCCAACTCCAATAACCAGATGAGAAAGGTTTCTTAGCTGTAGTAAACATAATCTTTATCATATTCTCTTACCAATACAGGGTGAGAAAAAAGTAGGTTTACAATTCTTCGTATGGCAAACCCTATATCATGAAAGCCTAATATGCTAAGTGTCTGGTCGACCGGTGACCATTCAACCAATCAAAGCATAATATGCTAATGATATGCTAAGGCCGCTCAACTGCTCAATATGAAATGCATTGACCACCAGGGGCAGACGCTCCGACCGGTAGGTTAGTTTGCTGCTGGGGTAGGTTAGCTTGCTGGTGGGATCCCTTGGCCTGGCCTGCACCCTCTCGCAATCCGGAACTCCTTGGGGGATGTCAGAGAGCTGGTTTCGGCCCAATCCCACAAGCCAGGCTGAGGGGCCCACAGGTGCACAAATTCGTGCACTGGGCCTCTAGTAATATAATAATCTATATAATAAAAGCCTAAGCAACTGTTATGGTGCAACGACCAGAACGACCGGTCACTATGATGAGTACTGACCACCAGGGGGCAGACGCTCATTGCAGGAGCTGCCACCTGGTGGTCAGTGTGCTCCCACAGGGGGAGCGCTGCTCAGCCAGAAGCTGGGCTCATGGCTAGTGAGTGCAGTGGCAGTGGTGGGAGCCTCTCCCACCTCTGTGGCAGCACTAAGGAGCAGTGAGCTGAGTGGTAAGGAGCAGCGAGCAGGCGGGCGGTAAGGAGCGAGGGGTCCTGGACTGTGAGAGGGCGCAGGCTGGGCTGAGGGCACACCGTCACCGCCCCCCCCCTGCATGAATTTCATGCACCAGGCCTCTAGTTAAATAAACAATAATACAAGAATAAACTGTGTGTTTCACTTATAGTTCTTACAACTGCAAACCTACTTTTGCCCCACCCTGTATATAAACAGAAACCAGATAGGCAGGAGAAGGAATATAAATATAAAAAATCTGAACCAGGCCTTGAAGACTGATAATTAGGTAGAGAAGAGAATTAAAGTAAACAACTCCATAGCATCCAGAGTATCTTGC